CATGCAGGCAAAGCATATATATATATATATATATATATATATATATATATATATATATATGGCAAATTTAAAGCAAAAACCAGTCATTTTCATGATCTTCTCTTCAAAGACTGTGTCAGCTATAAAACTGATGAAATGGAGGCCATTCTAAAGCCTGGAGCTGAGATGTTTCTCATGCAGCCTTTGAGAAAACATGCGTGAACGAACTGAAAATCAGGACTCTAGAGAGCTCTCACGTTAATGGCAGCCACAACCAAGCACTAGCCAAAGAGCCATGCACAGTCTTCACAGCCACACAGGCTCACTTGTACTGAACCCTGATAACCTCATGAGGCGGGTTACTGATTCCTTCTTAACTGACAGAAAACTTAGGCTAAAGACAGTGGTTTGCAAGCAGACACATATGAAATATGTTCCTGAAGATGTCACACTAGCAGACATATAATAAGAGACAGCCAGTTATAAATGTTCCTAGGGTCCTGGACAAACTCACAGAATAAAACTGCCCAACCTGCTACAAACTACTGAGAAACACCTAACAAAGCCCAAGAGTTAAACAGCTATTAATCACTCTATAAATTTAATAACAAAATTCACAATATCAAACATAAAACCTATCAAATTCACATGCTAAAAGCAGCAGCCCAGACTGCTTCTGCGAATGGCACTGCAGTAATTTCTAACTCAACATTCATCCAGTTCTGTTCTGTTCCATCATTTCTTGGGTGCTTTCATCCTGACCCATTCCCTAAGATTACACAAAAAGTAATCAAGTCTTTTTCCAGTGTCCATTCTACGACAACTGTGTGGGGTTCCACATTACTGCCTACACGATTATGGCAGCCATGAAGTTTTACTTGCTCTGTTCTTTTATCCATACTATTGCCTGACCAAACACATATACACAAATCACACTGTCTTCCTGTCAAGTATCTTCTTATACGGTTTCTAGTGGAGTAACGCCTTCAGGCTAAAATTCAACTGGCTTACTGTGTGTGTACACACATGTAGTGCATGCAGGCCCACATGTATGTACATGCATCTATCAAGGCCAACCTCAGCAGCTGTCCACCTCTTTTTCTGAGATAGTGTTTCTCACTAGCACCTCAAGTTCATCCATTCTCCTAGGCTGACCGGCTCCCTCCCTATTACAGAATGCCAAGTATACACCACTATTCCTGGCTTTTACACGGGTCTTTATGCTTTCACAGCAAGTGCTTCACTAGCCCAGCTATCTTTCCAGACCTCTAATTAGTTGTGTATACTCTCAACTCAATTAGTAACATTATTCCAATCAGGACATTCCAACATTCCCTCAAGGTGCTATCATTTCCTAAACCATAGTTGTGCCATAGTTTTCCTTGCTCAGAACTTTCCTAACTCTTCACACTGCCATTCTGCATCCTTATCTACCAACGTGTACAAACAGTTATCAAGGGCTAGCGATTTAACCCAGACTCTGACCCTGTAAAGACAGGGAATCACTAGCTGCAATGGTTGTCTGGTTCCAGCCCTTTGATTAGAACCTGGTGCCTTTAGAAGGGTCACATATTCGTTTTGTTTGAATTACTCACCTCGACACACAGAAATCTGAAATCACAGAACTGTCCTTAAATGAATCATACAATGCAGGACCTAAATTTTACGGAGAAAGACCAATTCCTTGCTGAAAAAAGGTGAAAACTAGAGTTCCGGCCACACAATCTATAATCTAATGTCTATAGCTTTTCTATGTTTTGTTAAATGAGCTCCCAGATACAAACACAATTCTATAACTCTGTATACAACATTACACCGTGACCGAAGACTTCACCTCATCAAACTAGACACTGCTCAGTACACTGAACTTTCTGCAAGTCAAGGCTACAATAAAGGAAGTTATCCAATAATTTCTTCTCATATTACTGCATATTCAATAAATTCCAAATTCTATTTTTCCCTTAGTCCTCTAAATATTAACATTAAAATGCTCTAATTTTAACTCTCCCCCCTGTTGATTATACAAAACATTATGTTAAAATATGATCAAGGCCATGATACTTAAGATGAAGCAATCTGCAACTACACTTGTGACAGAGAAGTCTGAAAAAGATGACAACACTGAGTTTAAATGCCTCCATTCTTTAGAACGGCCTCTAATTGCAAAGTCAACACTTAGATTTCCCATAAAAATCAATGTATTTCTTTCTCTGTGGCAAAAAAACAAAAACAAACAAACAAAAAAAACAGAAGGCAAATTATATCACTACCATACAATCTGGTACATAAAGTTGTGTTTTCCTGTTTCTTACAAAAAATACAAGACAACCTCATGTCACCTTCAGAGGCCAAGAAGGTTGATAAAACAAAACAGTATGTATCATCAGTCAGGTGTGGTAGAGTAAATAGATTAGATATTTTGCTTCAATATAGGTTAGGAGTTCATTAAGGACTCAATTTTCCCTACTCTTAAATATAACCATTACATATCAAATATTGGGTGTGTTTTGCTTTCAACTCCCTGTAAGCCAGTCAACTCAGTCTCCACTGTCACCCTCTATGACAGTCTCCCACTACTCAAACAGGACATGTTTGTACCTGGAATACCAATAGCCCAATCCTTCTTAAGAAATTATCTAGTTTTTGCTATATAAATTCATCAAAGGATATCTTGTTTAGAAGTACTTTTCTTCCTAACAACACCTTTTTGGGCAAATATGTTTTAGACCATGAAAATCTAGAAGGCACAGAAGGGCTGGCTGGAAGAAACCATGTAGAACGAGGAAACCAAAACAAACAGGATAATGGACAGGCTTCTAACAAATACACAAGTTAAACTAATACGTAATACGGAGTTCTAAAATTAGGCTGCACACACTTAGATGTCTTGTTTCAAAAGAATTTAACAAAGAAAAATAACCTAATATACATGTTTAACTGAAAAGGTCTCTGTCTTTTTCTATAAATTCTAGCCACAATAAGCAAAGCTCTATGTTCGCTGTTACTCAGCCCCTACTGAAGGAATGACTGGGGGATGATGGGGCAGGCCAGCCAACTTGTCAGTGCTGGTGCAAACCTCTAAGAAGGAAAAACAGAAGAGACTCAGTAAACACTTCTCAGGATTTCGTTCTAAATACAGCAGGAATTTCTAGAAGAAAATATGAATGTTACTGGAATCAGAGGTTCACTTTCACTCACTAATATTTAATTATAAAAAGATATATAAGCCCAAATGCTCATGTGAGTGATCATTTTGGATATCTGATCATTTGAACTAACAATTAACACAGGTCCGACCATGTTAAAAAATCTGTTCGATCCACTTGTAATCATGTAAATTGGAATTTAAAGTATTTGTAAGACAAATAATTGCTTTACAAAGTTGGTTTTGCTGGTGGCAAATATAATTAAATATTTTTAAAGCCCAAGTAGCTGTTAAAAAGTTATATAATAAAACTGTTGAGGACAGGGAAAACATGTGGGTGGGGGAGGGAGAACCTTTGAAAAAAAGGAAAGTAATCTAAAAATAACTGATTAAATTAATATTCCCCCAGTCACATAATGGAATTCTTTTGTTAGAGGGAAAAATCTTTTTGTTCCAAACAGTCCTTTTAAAACAATGCCCTATGGTTCTGAAACTGAATTTCGCTGACCACTGAGAAAATGATCTATTCCTGTCTACAAAACCAAAAAAGAAAGTCTTTGTAAAAACAGAAATATCTAAGCAATTGAAGTCAAAGAATATTGTAGTCTCAACAATTTAGCTATCTAGTTAAGAGCAGCTTATGCACCCTGCTACAGAAATCAGACTTTACTGTCACAGACAGGCCTGTACTGGCACTGTTCACTGTACCTCCCTGCAAGCCCCTGTGTTTTCAAGACAGCCATCCCGAGAGTTACACTTGAGGCTTACTCTGATGCCTCAGAGATGTCGACATCTTTGCAATGTCTTACATGATCCTAAGCAGGATTCCTGGTTCGTGCTTAAGTCAAATACTGAAAAACCTAAAATGTAAATACGTAAGTCCAGATCCCCCCACCACCACCCCCTTTTTTGTCAGTAATAATGTTCAGTGAGATCACTGCATGACTTGCCAGTTTACTACCAGCAGAACCTCTCAATGTGGGCTAGTCGAGGATGTTTAAAGTCCGAGTAAAGGCAAGCAAGCATTTCATTTGAAGTTAAATAGTAGTAATAAAAGAGGAAGTGAGAAAGTCTTTATTGTTCAGACCAAAATGATGTGCTTGGAAAAAAAAAAAATTCTTGTAAACAATCTTTAAAATCTCTATGCCCAAGATACACAATTAACATAAAACCAGGAAAGGAAAAGCAAATAAACAGCAAAAAAGTTCTTTCTCTACATGCCAATATACTAACTTAGTAGCTTTTGCCACACATAATAGATTACAAAAGGCAAAGTATTTCAACACAGCACATTTACATCTATGCATTTCAAAACAATGCCGTAAAGTAGCTAGAAATGTTGGCTCTTGTTATTTACAGAAGACCAATTTGATTATTTGTCTTTGGTTAATGTTTTGGTTTTATTTTTTTCTTCATGGACATGCAGAAAACAAATCAAATTCAAGTGCAGCTTCTAATTCATGAGAGCAATGGACCGTTAAGTCCAACATCCACTGCAGACACCACTTCAACAAGCAGCTGACAGCACGCTGTGCTCACTATACTTTGGTCTTTCAACGTCAGCTTTAGCATTGGGCTTTAGATCCCCAAACAGAAGTTCCTACATTCCCCTCAGGATCTCGAAGCCACTGCAAACAAGGAGGTTACCATAACAAACTGTAGACTGATGTTGTGACTCATCTTTAGGAACTACTGAGAGCCAAGAGCCATCTTCACTGCAACATACCACCTGAACATTTCTGCATTTCTGATAATGCAGATCTGACTACTCCGTCCTCTGGATTGAAGAGGAAAAAAAATAAGATTAATGAGCAATACAGAAGGACTGGGGAATACGAAGCAAACAAACAAACTTTTTTTTTTTAAGAAAGGATACAGCCTTAAAGCACCAGTCTGAGTTCCTACCGCCAGGATCTTCTGTACAGGATCAAAGGCCAGGGCTGAGGGCTGATAGGGGAATCCATGGCGAACAGTCTGGGATGGGCAGTGACATCACAGGAACCGACACAGCAGGCAAAATCCGAAAACAGAACAGCCCACAGGGGCGTTAGAGTTGGAATCAACTACACTTAATACAAAGCATACACGGGGACTCGCCACGGTAAGGGTAAGGGGGAGTTGGGGAGTGAGGGGTGGGCGCTAGCCTAAGGAACAAGCACCAGAAGCACAAATTACTTCAAATCCTGCTCTGCTAAAATACTGGCAACTTAGTACAGGGCAATTTCCCACGAATAGCGCATACTATTCTCTTTGATGCCAAGTCACTCAAGTTTGAAGCGGCCCAAAATTCTGTAAAATCATTGCAAAGGGTGATTCGTGTTGCATCTTAAAGAAATCCCCCAAATCGTGACTTTATTTGAATGCTAACGGGAAGGATTTCTAAGGAAAAGTTGTCATGAAACTAACTGAAGGATTTAGTCAAAGAAGAATCCAATTTCCTATTAAGATTGGCATAATTTTAGGACATAACAAAAATTGTACGTAGGCTTTTCAGCCCCCGACATAGGAAGGACCGCACAGCTATCTAGGAGGCAAGCAGGTCTGGATACAAAGGCTCGAGTGCTTTTCTCACTGAGCAGCTGGGAATTAATCCGCTGCATCATTCTTTCTGAATTACAGGACCTTGTGGTAATCATCGTTGCCATTCACGGACAAAACCCCTCCGCACTAACTTTGTACCCAAGCAAGCTAAAAGAATCCTGTGAGTTCAGGTGGTGAGCCGCACGCACGCATTCTAAAGAAAAAGTGATGCGCAAAAGATCTGGTTGAACAGGTTTGCCTTGCCCACAAACAGCGTTCATCACACACGACTGGAAAATTTCGACGTCAGGGGACGATAATAAAATATGCGCAAATATAAAAGTATTTCCAGACCATTGCTACTAGCGTCTGGGTGGTTATTAAAAGACAAGGCAGTATGTTTGGGTTGCCTTGAAATGCCTGCTTTTTATGAAAAGACACCCACTATAAGATCTCAGGGGATCTCTGTCCAAAATACCCCCCCGCCCCTCAAGGCTCGTCTTGTCAAGGGGGGAAGGGGGCGCCTTCTTAGAGCGATGAGCTCTATTGGCGCGCGCTGCCCTCGCTCGCGCTCCCAGGTACTGCCCCGCGGCCCCCTCAAACGACCCCGATCTTCCCAAGACAGCTCGGCGGCGCTGCGCGCTCCCTTCACCTTGCAGAGTTGGAAGTGCTCGGACTGGAGCGTCTCCTGGATCTCGGGCTCCCGGTTCCCAGGCGGGTGCTGCTGCTGTTGCTGCTGCTGCGAGGCCGAGGACGAGCCAGCGGTCAGGCCGTCCAGCACCTTCCTGATGTTGAATTTCCTCATGGTCTCGCCCGTGGGGTTAGGGGGTGTTTCCCCTCGAGGCCCAGGTGGCGGTGGCACCGGCTGAAGCCGAGCGGCGGCTTCGGTCGTGGGGTGCGAAGGAGGAGCGGGGAGCAGAAGATAATCCCAACAGGAAGGGCTGAGACGACGGGCGCGCGGCGGCGAGTCCGCTTCCTCCGAGGCCGCCGCGGCTGCAGGGACGCCGGGGACGCCGCCGCCTCCTCACCTGGTCGCGGCCGGGCTCCCGCCGTCCCGCGCCGCTGCCGCTGCCGCCGCAGCCATGGCCCGCGGCCCCGCAGTCCCCCGGCACGTCCCGGGCTCGGCCTCCCCTCAGCGCAGCCGCCCAGCCCGCATGGCCCGGGCACCCGGGGCCGCTCCCCGCGCCGCCTGTCGCCCTCTCCCAGGCCGCTCGCTGTCGCCTCCGGGAGCCCCGGCCCCCAACGCCCGGCCGAGCAGACGGCGAGCTGCGGTTCCAGCGCGCCGGCCGCGGCGGTGGCGGCAGCTGGGCCTCCGCGGCGCGGGCGGCCCGGTGCGCATGCGCGCCTCCGCCCCCGCCCCCGGCCGGCGGCTTAAATCCTCCTCCGCCGAGAGCCCCGGCGCAGCTGGCGGCCCGCGAGCTGGGCGACCGCGCTTCCAGCCCTGTCACTCAAGCGCCTGCTGTGTGCCCTCAGGTTGTTTTCTCTCTCTGGTCCCGCAATGGAGCCTCCAGGCAACGACTGTGTCAGCAAAGGGAGAAGGCCAGCCCCCTTCACGAAGGTGTTGCCGGCGGTAAATGAGGCTGGCGGGCGGCGGCCAGGCTGCGACAGGTCCCCTGAGGGAAGAACTCCAGCGCCCGACCCTCTCAGAATCCGGCCGGAAGGCGGGGGGGGGGTGGCAGCCAGCGCTCCCCGCCATTCCCTGTTACAAAGTCCTGTCTACCTGACAGCTTATGAACCGATTGTCAGCCCCCGGAGCCTCTCTGGAGAGGGAGGTGACGGGTTTGCTCCGATCTGACTGCCAGTGTCCCTGCGTGTCTCCCCGACTGGTAAGAGACTGAGGAGTGGTTCAAGTTTGCGACTGTGAAAAGAAATTGGCGCTGGGGGCGGAGATAGGAATCCTCCCGGCCCGTGCGTTCTACAAGCAAGGTGGCGGCGCAGGATAATCAGGAGAAAAACGTTGGAAGACCTTTTATCCTAGTGAGGGAGGCACAGCAAGAGGCCAACCTTAGGCTTACTAAGACCCCGCCCCGACCGGGAAAACAAAAACAAAAACAGAAATGCTACCAGGGTTTGTTAGTTCCGCACCAAACTCAGAAGCGCCCCTCTTTTGATTGGTTATTGGCTACTTTCGCCGCTTCTGGATAGTCTCCTCACCGCATTGGCCTATGGGCAGATGGAACCTGCCTTCAAGAACAGCCAGCAAACCAATTACGCCGTGAGCTCAGGGCATTTCGGGAAGTGTAGTTCTCTAGAGTTCTGGCCGCCAAGAAGATTGCCTTCCAGTTGCAACTTCTAAAACTTTGCTTTTTGGTTTAAAACTTGTTGAAGTAGGAAGTTCATTCGGAATAAACCAAATTTAAAGACTTTTCTAAACTATTTCTAAGTGGTTCTAAGCTTTTGTTTTTTGTTGTTTTGTTTGTTTTTAGTTCTCTGAAACACGTTTTGTCCAGTTTGACATTATATTGCGCACAGAAGACTTAAAAACGCAATACTTTTCTTCAACAAATATGTTGCTGTGTCAAGGGGACAACCTTGCAAAAATAAATGTAAAATCGTATGAGTTCAGTAGTTGGGGGATGAGGAGGGACACTGAATTAGCCAGGGAAGTTCTGGAAATTGTTATAGACATCTTATGCTGAATGAGCAGGCAGTGATCCAGAGAATCAAAAGGAGGTTTTCCAGAGGGTGCGAAGGGAGGCTTTTAAAATTTGAGCTACCTAGACAGCTTTCTTAAAAGCCCAAATTACTCCACAGAGCAAACCACTGAACAGGTAATAATATCCCTGAATTCTAGATATTCCTTTCCACCTAGGTTTCCAATAAATTTGTTGAGTAAATCATCATCACCGAGTTAACAAACTCCAGGGAAACCCCATTTTTTTTTGTCCAGAGGCTTGTGATGTGACAGGAATTTCAGCCTATGCCCTGGCCATCTGTGTGAACTTGGGCAAATGTATTTGTTTTCTTCAGAAACAAATTAACCAACCAAGTGAGATGCTCCATGTGCAGAAATGAGATTACTTACCTAAGTAGAGGTAAGGGATAGAACAACAGTGTTAGTGCCACATTGGATTAGCCCTCTGTTGCTCTTGAAAAGTGTCAGTTTCTTGGTTCATCAGGATATTTGAGATGAAAAGAGGTCACCAAGTTAAGTTGGGTCCCTATTTTGCTGTAGAGCTATTGCTTTGATTTCCATACCTTATCAGTCTCATCAGATCGTGAATTCACCCTGCCATGCCCACATCATCAATCCAAAAGAACCCTAGAATTAAAGATGAATGGAAATTGGTTTTGTGATATTACAAGACAGCGAAACATCCAAAAATCATATCCAAATTTAGTAAAAAATTAAGGCCCTTATATAGTTACTATCATAACAGCAAAAAAATAATGGGTTCTTAAATTCATTTTATTTCTTTTTTACTTTAATTAATTTCCCTGTGTGTATATTTGGGGTGGGGTAGGTGTCCACATATACAGAACATGGACAGAGAAGTTGGAGGACAACCTTCTGGGGTAAGCACTTTCTTCCAATTATGTGGGTCTGAGGATGGCATTGACCTTGGTTGTCCAACTTCATGGCACACACTTTCATCTTCTGGCCCATCTTGCCATCCCCTCCTGGTACTTTTTGTAAATAGGTTTCAACTGGTTACTTTTTTAAAAATTAGGGTGGAAACTTTAAGAAATTGATGTAAAATAAAGTATGAAGATTTAGCATAAAGTAAAACTTTAGTAATTTATGGTTCAGTTTGCTTTTGCTTTTTAGCAGAAAATATCTAATTTTACCTGTAATAATGTCTCAGCAAAGTTTCTGTTTCATCCTGAGGAATGAATCAGTATGTTGACTTCAAGCTGCTCAGTAGCTTCATGCCTTTGGACAAATCCTGGTCTCTTTCTTAAAGTTTTCTTATCTACTTAGTGAAGAATGAACTGGGCTATATGCATAGAAGACCACTGCCAAGTTATCAATAAGAAGATTGCATTTGGCTGACTAAGGGTGACACTAAACAATACTGCCTTCCTTGACACAAAGCAAAAAGAAATCTAAACACACACACACAGAGAGACACAAACACGCACACAGTCAATTACATTATAAGACATGAAATTCAAAAATCAAAAATCCAGCATGATATAAAATTTCTGAGCCTGCTAGTCTTCATTATCAGATTTACTAATCCCCATATTAATGAAGACTATGTATAGAAGCAGCTGGATGAAGGCTATGGAGAAAGGCGGTTTGGTAGTAACTAAGATAGCCTAAGGGTAAGCATTTTCTAATTTTTAATTTGTTCATTGACTTTCTAGAAAGTGAATGAACTCTACATCACTGACTAACATTCATTTTTATTGACTTAATATTAGTTTATGAAATCCCAAAGGGTTATAAGAATGGCAGTAACTGAGTCACTGTGTTATTTAACAGGGATTTGAATTTAAATCATTTGCAATTTGTACTATAGATGTTAATTAGGTCAGGCTTCTTTCTGGAATGCTTTTCCTAGATCCTGTTAAAATGATGGATCGGGGTGATTGTTTTTTGTCAAGGGATACTGTTCCTAGATCACTGATTCGGAGGTGGGAATCTGAAATCAGCCAAACCCAGGAGTAGGAATTCTGGGTTTTGGAGTGAATTATAAAGCTCCCAGGTTGGTTGAACTCAGAAGTTCAGTGTGGTTTGTTTTGCTTCATGTATTCTGACCATGACATAGGAGACTGAAGGGTACCAACTATCACACCATTGACCCCAGGCATGCAGAAAATAGGATCTCGACTCCAAACAAGCCACTCACTTCCCAGCTGTCTTCCTCGAGCAATCCTGTAATATGTGTTTCTTCCCATTTTGTGTTAATTGGCTAAATGGGCTTTTCTTTTTACAATAAACTATTTTAGCAGGAATTTTCACTCTACCTGCCTCCATGAGCAAAAGAATGCATGGCTGTGTGGCCACCCTTCACTGTTTTGTTTTATTTTGTTTTTCATCCTCTCGTCAATCCTCTCTACAGTTCAGAGGCTACTGCAATAATCCAATCAGGAACTGGTAACTTAAGCCAGAATAGTTAAAAATGGTAGCAATGCAAATTGCCAGTCAGATTCTGAGTTGTATTTTAATAGTAGAACCAAGGGGATTTGCTGATGTCGTGGGAAGAGACACAGCAAAGGAGCAAGATACACACCTCAAATTCAGCCTGCATACTGCAAAGGTGGATACTGTGGCTTAATGTCCACAGCTGTGACTCATGGGTAGGTAATTTACAGTCACCATTTGTTCCATAAGGGACTCCACAAACACGTCAGCTAAATAAACAAGCCTTGCCTGAGAGCAACAAGCAGGATCTACTACATTGCAATCTTTGTCCAGCTCTGACCTTTCCGGAAAAACAGATCAGACCGACTTTTAAGTCAAACTTCAGAAGGCCACATATAACCTTTGCCACTTTAATATTTTTGTAAGATATGCTTAAACTATAAGCAAAAATATAAAAGACCAGTAAAGTCACGTGAAGAGAAAATTCCAAAAGTACAAAGCAAAACTAACAGAACCAAGTGCATGTATGCTTATGTGCATACATATATGGTCAAAAAGGAGAGTCTCCCTTGAGCAAACACTTCTTCAAGTTCTCAAGAATTTCAGCTGTTATAATTGCAATAGGAATCCTATTAGATCAAGAATGAGTCTCATTATTTGGGGATTTAAATATTATATTTTAAACATTTTGTTAAATTTTTTGTCATGGGCTTAGCTTTGCTTATAAATCACTCATGAAAATTAGATTTGAGGGCTGACAGGCTAGCCACATAGTATCTCATTTAATTAACTCACAATAAATATTATGTGGTAACAGAGTAAGCTCTGTTAAGTTTAATTTAATGTTTTCCCATGGCCCAACTCTTGCTGTCCACTTAAATTTTAGCCCACACTGAACCTCTTATCTCATGCGCCCAAAATAATGAGTTCCTATTTAACAATGATGTTGTTTCCTCAGACAAAACCCACAGTAAAAGGAAAATATTCCAAGTCAAGATAGCACAGGCATTGTGGCCTCTCCAAACTGGGATCCGCATTCTGGAGCCCTGTGCTGCTCACGTGTGTTCTGGAGTCCCTCACAAGACTGTGATCCCTTCATGGCTTCTCATAGTCCCTCAGCAGGCTTCTCACAGGCCTCTCATGTGGCTGCTCCTGCTCTCACGCCCCTCAAGTGTTCACAGGCCTCTAATCTGACTCACAAGTATCACTCACTCAAGCATCCTTTCTGTCAGGG